GTGGTGGATCCCTCAAAAAACCCAAAAGAATAAAAAATATTTCAAACAATAGGATGGCGCCGGGCGTTGGTGGCTCACACCTTTAATCCCAGCAGGAGGCAGAGGCAGGCGGATCTCTGTGAGTTCGAGACCAGTCTGGTCTACAAGAGCTAGTTCCAGGACAGCCTCAAAAGCCACAGAGAAACCCTGTCTCGAAAAACAAAAAACAAAAAAAACCAAAACAACAACAACAAAACCCAAAACAATAGGATGGCACTCAATGTGGGTCACGAACCCACGACCCTGAGAGTAAGTCTCATGCTTTACTGACTGAGCTAGCCAGGTGTTTCCAGTGGCAAAAGGTTATGTAGCCTGTCCCTCGTTGATATACATTCATTAGTCTAATGTCTGCCTTTGCCACACTTTCTGCACATTGTAAAAGGCTGAGGCATTCTGTTTGAATTTTCTATCATAGACATTGTTTCTAGGAGCAGTTTACTACAGTCCCTTTTCAAATGACCTTGTCTACTACAATTAAAACACCTAACATTTTTATTTTTCTTCATATATTTAGAAAGCAATGCTCCTATTCAAATACCATCATTAGAAGTATGGGGGTCAATATCAATTTTATGTCTGATCCATTCTGATGATGCTGATCATAGCCTTAAAGGCCTAATCACTCTTTTACAGTCTACATTAGCATTATCAAAAGCCAGAGATTCAATTATTATTTGTCTAGCATCAGGAGGAGATATCATTCTATATACAGCTGATGCTAATCTGTGCAAAAAAAATCAGTGAAAGCTTCTTTGGGGCCTTGTATAATTTTAGTAAATGATTTAATCCTCTTTCATGATTCTTCAACCTTGTCACAAGCATTCAAAGCTGCTATAAAATCAGGGTGTTATCATCCAACATACACTGTCTTTGCTGACCCTCACCAAGATTTGATCTTGGGAAATCTCATGACGTCTAGCCTTACCTTGTTGTTCCTGGCCCTGGCTTCCTTCTCCACCAAGTTCTAGATTGTATTTGTGGACCAGCTTCCAACACTGCTGAAACTAAATCCTTCAAGTCTTGTGTAATAATTCTATTCTGAGTTGCCCATGAATTAACATCTATCTTACAAAAGGTGAATGCAGGGGCTGGAGAGATGGCTCAGAGATTAAGAGCACTGGCTATTCTTCCAGAGGTCTAGAGTTCAATTCCCAGCAACCACATGGTGGCTCACAACCATCTGTAATGAGATATGGTGCCCTCTTCTGGCCTGCAGGCAGAAATGGAGGCAGAATGTTGTGTACATAATAAATAAATCTTTAAAAAAAAAAAAAGGTGATTGCATACCATATGAAACTACTGCTTCCTTAACTCTCTTTAAGTCTAACATATCTACAGGATTCCAATTAACTTCTGTGTAGCTTTGGGGATTCATATTATCTGGTGGTTGCTGTTGAACATTAACAGGATATATTTAAGTTGGTGCTCTAATAACCTTAGGCCGTTCCTCTCCACTTTCACAATGCAATGATGTTACAAATTCTGCTCTAAATTCCTGTGTCTGAGTATTTTTGCTTTTTTTTTTTAGTATATCTTTCCAAGGCCTGCATTCTATTAATCTACTTGTCATATTTAGCACAAAAAACCACCAACGCTACTGAGAAGCCATTAATTACCATATTGATAGTATGTATTATTGGTATTATATCAGTGTCAAAGCACTAATCTTCCCATATTCTGCTTCTAACTTCAGCTCTCCTAAGGTAGCATTATAGAGAGCCCTAGCACCTTGAACTGTTATGTTTCCCATCCTTAACATAGAAAAAAAGTTTTTAATATTATTTAGGTCTCTCCTACTCTCCTAAAGAATTTCTCAGATCTCTTACCAATTCTGTTGACTTCTCCAGGCAAGCGACCGTCGACTGCTAGCATGAAGTTCAGATGGCAGATTCAGCAGAGCTGATGGTTGAGAGTTCCAGACGGCAAATGCAGCAGATTTGGCTGGAGTGACCCTTCCTTGTGGTTCTATCACCCATTCGAGCACCAATTTGTCGTTTTCCTTTTTTTAATTGTTGCTGCCTTTTAAGCTATGGCTATCCTATTCAGCAACTGCCACTTGGATGCTACCAGCAGCAGCTAGGTCACAAGAGCTGAAGCCTGAGGGCATTCTGTTCCCTTAGGCACTGACTCTTTCAAAGCTACTAAGGAAACTTATTTAAATCTCTGTCCCACTAAAGAACTCAAGATTCAAAGGTTGAGGTAGAATCCTGCTTCCCAGAGAGGCTGAATAGGGAGCTACTCACCTAGCTTCCCTCCTCGAGTTATTCAAGAAGTCCTTGTGCTCCCCCCCCCCACTTATAAACCCTTCTCCACCTGGCTCCTCCCTATAACTTCCTGTCAGCTAATTGCTGACCCACTCTCCTGACTGCTGGTGAATTCTATTTAATCAAACACATCATTAAATGAATGTTCCAAAGCATAAACAAAAGTAACATACCTTAAAATAATATTCGACAAAGCAGCGCTGGGGCTGTAGCTCAGTGGGTAGAGTGCTTGCCAGCATGCACAAAGCCTGGGGTTCCCTCTCCACTCCTCAGATACCCAGAGTGGTGACATGATGTAGGCCTGTCATCCCAGCCCTCAAGAGGTAGAGGCAAGAGATAAACTGTTTGGCTACTCAGTAAAATAGAGGTCAACCTGGGATACATGAGATCCTGGCTCAGATCAAACAGACAAAAACAACAAAACATGAATAAAGAAAAACGGAGAATGTATAGCCTCATGATGGCAATGTGTATATCATTGTAGTATATTCAGTATATTCAGAGAGGTAGAGGCAAGGGGAACACTGTAAAAGCAAAAGGAGAATGATTATGTAAGTTATTTTGCATCAATTATCCTTGGAGATAGTGAACAGTAACAAGAGTAGAGTCAGTCTGAGACAGTGCAAACATTGTTCAACAGATGTCCTTGCATAAACATTTTAGTAAAGTTCCAATGTCCTCTGTAATCACTTTTGATATGGTTGTTATGAGGCATGGGTGAGTGAAAAATCCTCTTTTAAGATTTCTGCATTTTTTGCTGTTTGTTTTTGATGACACAAGGTCTCACTATGGCTGTGTAGAGTAGGCTGACCTCCAACTTACAGATGTTTGCCTGCTTCTGCCTCTGAAAGCTGGGAATGAAGATCTGTTACACCACACATATCCAGCCTTTCAAACTTCTTTTTACCATTGCTGTTGGAACTGAACAAAAGTGATTCCACATTGTTTCTGATAATGTTCATACTCAAAAATGTTACTAAATCCAGGTATGGTGACTCAAGCCAACCATGCCCACACTTAGAAGCAGGTCATTCTTGGCTGCATGGCCAGTTCAAAGCCAGACTGGGCTTCTTGAGAGCCTGTCTCAAAAACCAAACCAAACCAAAACAACAACAAAACAGAGCTTAGGGGTGTAGCTTGGTGGTGGGTCACTTACCTGATGTTTGAGGCTTCTGGCTTCATCCAAAGCACTGCAGTAGTAATAGTAATGAATAATGATAAGGCGGGGGTGTGGTAGCACATGCCTGTAATCTTACACTTGGGAGGGTTAGGCAAGACCCGGCTTCTAACAAACAAAAAATGATTTTAAAAATTGCTTATGTTTGTCTCACAATATTCATAAGTTAATGTGTCCCCAGGGTGTTGAACAGTGCCTGGACCGTAATAATGCTACCTTCTGAATTTTGATCTTTTGTTGTTGTTGTTTCTCTTGATATGGTCTCATGTAGCTCGGTTAGCCTCAAACTTCCTATGTAGTTGAGGATGACCTTAAACCTCTTCAGTAATGGTATTTATTATAGGCATGTACCACCATGTCCAGATTATATGGTGCTGGTGATTGAGTTGAGGGCTTTCTATATGCTAGGCAAGTTCTACCAAGTGTTTTATTTTCATTTATTAGTGTGTGTGTGTGTGTGTGTGTGTGTGTGTGTGTGTGTGTGTGTGTGTTTGAGCGGAACAAACTTGTCTGCTCTTTTCACCTTATTCTTTTAAGGCAGGGTCTCTTAGTGAAACTATTACTAGACTGACAGTTAAGCTCCAGCCACTCTCATTTCTACACCATCCACAGCACTGGGGTTACAGAAGTTCAAGGCTTCATTCAGCCTTTTTTGTGGGTGCTGGGAACTTTAACTCAGATCCTCTTGTTTGCCAGGCAAGAGCTCTTGTCCACTGAGCCATCTCCACAGTTCTTTCTACCATCTCTTGCTCCGTTTTTTGTTTGTTTTTGAGACAGGCTGTCCTGACTATCCTGGGACTCGCTCTGTAGACCAGGCTGGCTTCGAACTCATAGAGATCCTCCTGCCTCTGCTGAGATTAAAGGCGTATGCCAACACCGCCCAGCTTCTTGCTCCACTTTTTAAAATTTATCTCTTGCATGAATGAGTGACGAGTAAGAGATGCTGGCTTTAGTCTCCTCCACAGCATCCTAACACTTCTGGACTGGTTTTGTGATCATACCGTCTCTCCTTACCCTAGGATTGGTAGGTATGATAAAGACGAATGTCCAGCACACACAAAGCCATTGATTTGATTCTGGCCCCCTATAGCACGGAGAAGGTGGAAGACAGGATCATAGGTTCAAGGTCATCCTCAACAACGTGAGTTTGAGGCTAGTCTGATCTACATAAGACTTTGTCTTCAAAGAAGACGGAAAAAAAGAAGGGTAAAGAAATCACTTGGCAAGTGTCAAGTTCAGTTCTGTAGAGGCGTTGTTTACTTAAGCGCGCCTTTGTTCTGCAGCAGACTGGCAGCCAAGTCTACAAGCCGGAGCTTGGGATAGGGAGGAGCCGGGACGGGGCGGGGCCCACTCTGGGGGCGGAGCCAGGACGCTGCAGGGGCGGAGCAAGAAGCTGCGGCGCCGCGGGGACCTGAACCGCCCAGGACGTCCCCGTAGCTACAGGCCCCACCTCCCGGGGCGGGACGTGCACGTTGATTGGCAAATATGGCTGAGAGGCGGTCTCCATTGGTTCGCCGTGCTGTCCGCTCGGCGGGCGGTGCCCGGACGCAGGTGCCGGCCGGAGCGGAGCAAGCAGCTGCTGACGGGCCGGGCCGGGCCGGGACCCAGGCCAGGGAAAACCGAGGGGCCTGCGCGGCCGCCCGGCCCGGCCGCGAATCAGGTAGGCACGGAACAGCGGGTCAGGCCCAAGTATGTAGGCGGGTCCATTGGGTCCCTGGTTCGAGGCTCCGGCTCAGTACTCGGGCGGGACAGCTAGGTCTGCACCCTTGGCCTCAACCCTGTTCCGGACGCAGGCACGTCAGTTTTCATTTCGAGGTTGGTGAGAGGTCTCAGTGCCTCGGCACGTGGTAAGAATCTTCCTGAGCCTCGGTTTCCCCATCTGTGAAAAGTGGGTCATCACGGAGCCAGCCTGATTTAGGAGATGGCTGATGAGGAAAGCGCCTAGCATACAGTCGGTGGTCAGTAAGTGACTAAAGTCATTCCGCAACCCTCTTTACAAGGGTTCTGTCTGGATAATAATTAACATTATAAAGAGTTGGGCGCTTCACAAAACAGCTACTCAGAGTGCACTCTATTGAAAATGTTGTTTTTCAGACGCTCGTCAGGGACTGCCAAGGTGGCTCAGCGGGTCACTGTGCTTGCCTGAGTTCTGTCTGTCTCGAGGTCTCATACAGTGAAAAGAAAAAAACTGACTCCAGAAAGTTGTCTCTTGAACTCTATAGGCACATCCTTGCATGAGTACACCCACGCGCATAGGCACAAACACACACAAAATCATTAAAATTGAAAACATTTTTAAAAGCTCTGTAGTCACAAATGTATGTGGTTAGTGGGAAACACACTAAGTCGGAATTCTAAAAATAATTCCTCTCGTCCCAATGAGTGAATTGAGGCTCAGTGAAGTTAAGACTGTTACCCCAGGCCACGCAGTAAACATGAAGCAGAGCTTCTGGGATTAGAACTTAGTTTTTGGACTGGGGATGTAGTTCAGTTCTTGCCTCGCATGCACTAGGTAGGCCCTGGGTTCAATCCCAGTAGTGCCAAACACACACACACACACACACAGAGAGAGAGAGAGAGAGAGAGAGAGAGAGAGAGAGAGAGAGAGAGAGAGAGAGAGAGAGAGAGAGAGAGAGAGAGAGAGAGAGAGAGAGAGAGAGAGAGAGAGAGAGAGACAGAGACAGAGACAGAGACAGAGACAGAGACAGAGACAGAGGAGGCCCAGAAGCAAGACATACAATATCAGTGGCAGAGCCAGGATAAAGCAACTAGGTCATGGGCCAAGATAACACATGTCTGTTATCTCAGGTACTCTGGAGGCTGAGACAGGAAGAGTTCAAGGTCTGACTGAGTTACTTTGTATAACCCTGGTTTTATTTAGTGCTTTTTTTATGATTTAACTTTTTTTTAAAAGATTTATTTCTCATGTATATACTGTCCTGCCTGTATGTATGCCTACATGCCAGAAGAGGACACCAGATCTCATTATAGATGGTTGTGAGCCACCATGCAGTTGCTGGGAATTGAACTCAGGACCTCTGGAAGAGCAGCCAGTGCTGTTAACCATTGAGCCATCTCTCCAGGCCTTAACTTTTTTTTTTGGTTTTTCAAGACAGGGTTTCTCTGTGTTGCTTTGGAGCCTATCTTGGCTCTCTTCTCTGGAGACCAGGCTGTCCTCGAACTCACAGAGGTCCGCCTGCCTCTGTTTCCTGAGTGCTGGGATTAAAGGCGTGCGCCCGGCCTTAACTTACTTTTTTAATTTAATTTTATTTTTGAGGCAAGATCTCACTATGTAGCCTCCTGGAATTCCACATGGAGAATAGGTTAGCTTTGAATTAGTAGAGATCCAACTGCTTCTGCCTCCCAAGTGCTGGGACTAAATGTGTGGCCGTTTTTTAGTTTATGTATGTATACCTGTATGAATTTATGTCTATTATGTAAGAGCCCTTAGAGGCCAGAAGAGGATGTTGGATCCCGTGGAACTGTAGTTGCAGGCAGTTGTAAGTCACCATGTAGGTACTGGGAATCAAACCAAAGTCCTGCAAGGGCAGTAGTGCTTTTAACTGCTGACTTAATCTCTCTAGCCCCATGATATTTTAAAACATTTGTTTGTTTATTTATTTCTTTTGTTTATGTGTCAGTTTTTGAGCCCTCACCCACTACAGCACATGTAGAGATCACAAGACAACTTTTGGGAGTCTATTCTCTCCTCCTACTGTATGGGTTCTGAGGATTAAACTCAGCTCATGAGACTTGGTGGTGGCAAGCACCTTTACCCACAGAACCATCTTACCAGTCTTCAAAATAAAATGAAAAGAAAGCCCTGGAAGCTGGACACAGAGGCAGGAGAGTAAGCAGGATGACTGCTGCAAGTTTAGTACAACCGGGGTCACAGAGCCATAGAGTCTGTAAGAGTCTTGGTAGAAAGGGGGGGGGGCTGGAATGTAGCTCAGTGACTTACTCAGTATATTTGAGATTCTGGTTCAATTACTAGTATTACACATGGGTGGGGTTTACTCATGAATCCCGTTATCTTTGCCTGGGAATTTATAGGCAGTTTATAGTTGCAGAGGGAGGGAGAAACATTCTGTTCAGTGATTTGTCCATGCTCCAGAAGTAAACCTATACCATACTCCTTATTGGTGCACTCCTTCCAGAAAGAGTAAACACATTAATCTTAAAAAAAAAAAAAGGATCTGTGTGATGATGCATGCCTGTAATCCCAGCATACAGGATGCTGAGGCAGGAAAAATCACAGAGAATTCAAGGCCAGTGTGGGTTATGTAATGAAACGCTGTCTCAAAAACAAAGCAAACAAAGGAAGAAAAACCAGGGGCAAGAGTACTTGCAGAGCTGGGAAGTAGTAGCCCAGCCCTTTAATCCCAGCTCTCATGAGTCAGAAGTAGGCTGATTTCTATGAGTTCGAGGTCAGCCTGCTCTACAGAGTAAGTTCCAGGACTGTTACACAGAGAAACCCTGTCTTGAAAAAAACAAAGAATCTTTGCTGTTCTTGCAGAGGACCTGGGTATCAGTCCCCAGAACCTTCATGGTGGCTTACAGCCATCTGTAACTCCAGTTTCAGGGACTCCAACTCCCTCTTCTGATCTCATCAAGCACTTACTGGGTACACAATGTGTACTTACATGCATGCAAAAACTCATAAAATAAGATTAATAAATAAAACATAATAAGATTAATAACCAATACAATTAAACAAGTCAACACACAAGAACTAGTGTCTCTTGAAGGCCAGATAACTCACAGTACAGTTTAAATTCAAATCCTGGCTCTGTTCCTTGCTAGCTGGGTGACCTTGAGTGAATAGGCATCCCTTCTGAACTTTGACCTCTTCTTCAATCAATGAGGCTAATCATGAGGCTTATAGTTTAGTTGTGAAGACCTGATGAAATCCATCCCATCATAGAGTCTGGCAGGCTGGCCTCTGAGGCTCATCTAACTGGTTCTCTTAATCTGTTACAGAGTTGGGAGTGAGACATGAATGCAGCAATTGCACACACACACACACACACACACACACACACACACACACACACACAGAGTCACTCTGTGCTTGATATACGGCTGGGTGCTGGAGACAGCAGGAAGAATGTCTGATAGAGTTCACTGAAGGGTATGAAGACAGGCATGGCAGATGCATTAACAAACAGCATTTCAGAGAGGACCCCATGCCATGAGGTGTCACGTTAGCCAGCGTGGTCTGAGAGGTACTCCAAGGATGTGACCTTTGAAGGAGACATTTAACAACAATTGATTGAAGTTCAAATATAGGTAGATAGCTTGGTATTCTAATATTTTGTGTGTATTGTTTATTTTTGAGACAGGGTCTCTCATAGCCTGGGCTGGCCTCAGACTCAATATACAGTTGAGGATGACCATGAACTTCTGATCCTTCTGCTTGTATGTCCTGAATGCTGGAATGACAAGAGTGTACCCCCATACTCAGTTTTATAAGGCAATGGGGAGCAAACCTAGCACTCTGGACATGCTAGATAATAAGTATGCTACCAACTGAGCCACAAAACCAGCCTTAATATCCAGTGTTTAATACATTTTTGCTGATGTTACTTTTTTTGTTTATTCATTTTGTGTGTGTGTGTGTGTGTGTGTGTGTGTGTGTGTGTGTTTTCCTTTTGCCATTCGGGCTCTGGGAATAGCCCCCTTGTGGGCCCTTTTTTTTTCTTTTTTTTTTTTTTTTTTTTTTTTTTTTTTTTTTTGAATCAAGGTCTTTCCACTTGCTCTCCAGCTCTCTCTGTAGCTTGATCCTCCTGTCTCAATGTCTAGAATGCTGGAATCACAAGTACGTGCTACCATGGCCAGCATTGCTGTGACTATTTTAGCAATTTATGGACTGGTTTGAGCAGATTTACCAGTGTTGGTGGATTTTCCCCAATAGTAGGTAAAGTAAGGAAGTAAGGAACTGTGATGATTCTTGTAATGCACAATTGTTGGTATAAATTCTAGCACTTGGAAGACAGAGGCAGGAGGATCAGGAGTTCTGTCTTGAGCTGTAGAGTGAGAGACCCTGTCACTAAGAAGAGAGAGGGAGATGGAGATGGAGATGGAGAGGGAGAGAGAGAGAGAGAGAGAGAGAGAGAGAGAGAGAGAGAGAGAGAGAGAGAAAGCAAGCATTGGGGAAATAGTTCAACTGATAGTTCAAACTGAGTATTTGCCTGGCATGCATGAAGGCCTGGGTTCCATCCCCAGAACTACATACACCAAACATGGTATTCCTGAAATTGCAGTATTTAGAAGGTGAAGGTCAGGGCTGCAGAGATGGCTCAGGGTTAAGAGCTCTGGCAGCTTTTCCAGAGGACCTGGGTTCAATTCCCAGCACCCATATGATTGTTCACAACCATCTGTAACTCCAATTCCAGGGGATCAGATGCCTTCTTCTTGCCTCACAGGTACCAACTGTACGTTTGGTACATAGGTACACATGCAGACAAAATGCCTATACACATAAAATAAAATACAAATAATAAAATTTAAAAACATTAAAAAGTTCAAGGTCTTCTTTGGTTAGATAGTTCTAGGCCCACCTAGAAATCCTGTCTCAAAAAAAAAAAAAAAAAAAAAAAAAAAAAAAAAAAAAAAAAAAAAAAAAAAAGAAAGAAAAGGAAAAAAAGAAAAAGAATGGAAATAAAGGGGAAAAGATCTAAAATAAATCATCAGAGGTTGAGATGGACTTTTTTCAGCATTCATTCTCTCACAGAGGACCCAGCACTTCCCCACTGACCTCTCCATTGTACATTGTGGTTGACGGAGCATCAGTGTCCACAGGGCGGGCCTGGCCAGTGCCCCATGGCTGTTATCTGAGGTTCACAGCCTTCCTCCTGGCTGAGTCTGACTTTGGTTGATACTTGCTTATCTGACCTACGGTGGCTCAGCTGTGGAGGCCTAGGAGGGTCATGCTGGCTTTTTAGCTGAGCTCTTCAGGGAAAAGCTGATCTGTCAGCTGACTGTCTAGGTGCAAAAAGTCAGTTAATAATTTACATTCCATGTCTTTGGGTCTCTGGATTTCATAGGCAGGGCTGGTTAGAGTTGACTTGGCGCTGGGCTGACCCTATCAGTTGGGCCTAATAGTATTTGTAAGTTACTGTTTGTAAGAGTTACTGTGGGCTCTGGATTTAACTCTTAGAGACAAGAGTCCTGGGTGTTAGACAAATTGAGACCAGTGATCTTTGGCTCTGGATTGATGTCTAAGGAGCCTTCTGGGGTTTCTTAGAAGAGTCAGACATGATGGCACAATCCTCTGACATCAGCTACTTAAAGAGCTGAGGCAGGAGAGTGTTAAGTTCAAGGTCTGCCTAGGCTACAGAGCAAGCTCCAGGCAAGGTCAGCCTGGATAGCTTGGTGATACTCTGTCTAAAATTAAGACATTATGGGCCAGTGAGATACTTCATAAAGTGCTTACTACCAAACCTGATGACCTGAGTTTGAGCCCCTAAAACCCACTTGGTAGAAGAGAACTGACTTTGCAAGTTGTCCTCTGATCTTCCCATGCACTCTTTGGCATCCACTCTTTCCTCCATAAGTGAATGTAATATAAAGTTAATTTTTAAAAATTTAAAAATCAAAAAGGAAAAGTTTTAGAGTGGTGGGAGAGGCAGGGAGCTGAGAGTATAGCTTAATGGTAGGGTGCCTGCCTGGTAAGGCCAGTCTCTAAGTTCATATCCTGCTACTAGAAAGGAAGAAACATTCTTAGAGGATATTTACAGAGATTGGAAAGCTGGGACCCCCTTCTTGCTACTTGAGAGAAGAGGACGAGGCTGCACAGGGTTCCTTTTTGCTGATTGGATCCTGAGGCCCAGGGGGGG